ATTCCAAAGCAATATTTAATAAAAACTGATAATGAATCCATTTTGTACAATGTTCTATAAGCTAGCTTTGAAGCCATGTATTTTGATATGATCTCTTACTAATCATGGGAAACTACCTCTGGATTCTGACCTCTGCAGACAACGCTGTACTACTGTACACTTGCATCAGTAACTATTTAGCCCTTAAAAAAAGCTTAGCCTTAGAAGCTAATAACTTCAAGACCTGACATCAGGCTGTTTCTGTTTTTCTCTCAGTTTTGTGGACTCTATACCATCTTTTTGTTGAATATCTGCCACACTGCAGAGTCTCCTAAAAGTATTTTAAAGTTGTATTTTATCACATAATCGAAGTGCGGTTATCGTTTTTACTGTGCCGTTACAACATTTACAGCAATTCAATTATGACCAATTATGACCAAGACTGAAGGGTCTTCCTTGATAACAAGGGTGAAAACCTTGTTATCAAGGAATCAGACCTTCCTACATCACTTTGCAGGCCTCAAAGAGACATACTCAATTTGTGTAATGAATGCATAAAACATCACTTTAATGCCTTTATACTTCCTGGATAGATGGAGCAATTATTAAATTTTGTTCTGAATTTAACAAAATGTTTCAAGGGGGTTAATTAATGTTTCAAGGGCTTGGTGCCCACAAGTACACTAGCCAGCTTCTAATAAATGTCCCCCGTGGAAAAGCACTAAAAACAATAGTGAAACAAAAGAAAAACAAATGGGATTTGCAAATCATTAATTTTAACAGAACATAATTTATAATGAAAACCTGATGTCATCGCTTCCATGGAACAACACTTGGCATAAACTGTAAGGCGGGAATCACATAGCAGTCGGGGTAGGATAGGGTTGAAGAGAAAGGGAAGGAAATAAGTTAATGGAATTTGAGTTTAACAAAGTTTGGTGTGGCATGGATAGGGCACAAATATCAAAACACTAAAGGGTCTTTTTTTTACCACGAAAGCCATCACTGAAAATCTTTCACTAATTCATGGAACAGCTACACTACACTAAACAAACTCAATGCAAATTCAAGAGGGAACAATCCGATATGTGAATGGAATTAGTCCATACTTTCACTGAGAGACAAATTATTTAATTAAGAGTTCCCGTCATTCACATTTTTAAACTCTGTAGTCCATTGTATTTGAGGCAAGTGGTCTTTGATCAATAAGTAAAATTCTCAATACCACTCATCTTTCAAATGAAAAGCAATGTTTCAGCTGCAGGAAACAAATGAACCATTTCAATGCATGAAAAATGCAAAAACATACTTCTTAAAATGAATGGAGAACAAAGCACAATTTATGAATTAAATGCAGTTCTTGACCAGGAGAAGCAGAATACAGATGATGCGTCTTTAAAGCCGAACTCTCTGTAGACCCCCTCCCGATCAGCTCAGCTCACTTTTACCAGAGTCCTCATTCCAGCACAGAATAGGCAGCATGTCACCAGTATGAAATCTGCAGAGATTGCTATTGTATAGGAAGCTAATGATATCAAGGCAAATACGAAACCACCCCTCTGCTAGTGACGAGAGATGCTCTCGGGGAAACACAATCAAAGGCATTGCCCTGCTTCAGAAGGGTCCAACTCCAGTCCTCAGGGGCCATCAGGCAGGTTTTATAATCCTCTTTAAATCTCCAGCTTCTTAAGAACAAGGAAAGCCCTCATCTTGTCCAGTTAAGCAAATAAGACTTAAATTCAGTAATTATGGGCTCAGATGTAAAGAAAGCCAGAAACCTTCCAGCCCTCCAGGAACGGGGCTGTATACCTCCGCCCTACTTCAAACCAGTAATGTCTGGACTACAGGAAACCTTGCACTCCAAATTAAAACCTTTACTATGTTGAGTCAATTTAGAGCTACCGGCTCGTTTAGGAAGAAGCACAGACTGCAAAGTGGATGACCAAGGAAGTTTTGCTGCTCTGCCATGCTGCACTGCGGCAGGCTGAGGGCTTTCACACCTAATCCCTCTGTGGGCGTCTACCATCAGGAAATCTCGGCAATAGCCAGAGAGGAGCACAGCTAAGTTCAAAACCGTGACCTCTAGGTTTTCCGACTCCTGCAGGAGGATTTTACCAGATATGGCCTTAGGAGCCTGTATTTACTCTTTTATAATAGAATTGAGAGTTCTAGGACTTAAAGATAAGACCATAAAATCACTAAGAAGCACAAAGAAATGACCAAATGAAAACTAATGCAGCTCATTTTTGATCGTTTACTGCAAAGGATCTTTACGTGAAAATGTGGTCCCTGTGCCTCAAGGCATTGCTATGAGGTTCATTTAACATTCAAGACTGCTCATATTGTAGAAGATGTGAGTAGCACCAGGCTACCCTTGGTAAGATATATAGCTGCAAACTATAGGAATCTGAGGGGCTTGGCATAAAGTATCCCATTGTAATTAATGGAAGGATGACTGTTACCACTGCATGATTTACACTATACAAAAATGGAAGATACTGTATGCCATTGCGGTAATGCTTAATGTGAGCAGTGAAAGCAATCTGGTTCTGGCAAGACGAGGTGTTGAGATATCTCCAAGGAGCTCTTCTGAAGCATCTGGTTCATTCTGCTGCTTGAAAGGGAAGTTAGCCAACTCATTTGGCTGTGTGCTAGGAGCCTGGAAATCTCATTCAGCTCGATCATTTACTTTTAAATGTCAGCATCAGAATTCAGTAATGCGTGCCTGTGAAAGTCCACTGCTAATGCTTTATTAAACTCCTTTTTTTAAAAACAAACAACTGTGAAAAGTCCCAATTCAGATTCACTCAAAAGAATCTGTGCATCCAGCCAGGGTGCCATCTTTCAATCCATACTTAAGTTTTCCCACATTTTAAAGTGACAAAATTCACAACCGACCCATATTAAATACAACAGTAGAGAGAGTGCAAAGCAGGACTTGAAACTGGCTGCAAAATGAAAAATTCAGCCCACATATCCCAAGATTGAAATGTCAACTAGTTTCCATGAAACTCCAATAATAATAACCAGAAAAAAAAACAGACTTAGGTAGTGTTTAGCTGTTTCATCATACTGATATTCAACAGCGTACCACAGCGAAGCCAGATTGTATATAAAAATAAAGGAAGTGAGTGACATACCACTCCAATATTGCTAAAATGAAAAATATAGCTGACCGCAGTCATTGCCCCTTATAACTTACCCTTTCAAGTTAGGTCCTATACTCCAGAGAGTATAACTTAGAGTTCTCAAGCATTGCTTATGGGGAAAGGGTTCTAATGTATTGATGTGACAGCCTACCATCATTTTCAAAATATTCACAGGGCCTCGATGAGCTTGACACTCCCTGGCCTCACTTCATCTGACGCACTAACATCCAGACACACTCACATGGCACATGGGTATAGAGATAGAAGCAACAGCATTATCACCCCCTAGCTTGAATTTGCCAGATCTCAGAAGCCAAGCAAAGCTGGGCCAACTACTGGGGATAAATAGTTCTGTATACAGTAAATGTAAGGAAATGTCATCAAGACTTTATGTAAAGTGACAAAAGAAAACTTTGGGGAAACAGATTAGATGAGGCTATCAAAGAATCGCAGGGAAGCCTTCATTCATACTCCAACTTTGAACAGAAACTTATGATGATGCAGAAAATAGGCAATATATCTAAATTTAATATACTGTACACACTATAATCATACTACTGTATGTATAAACAGTATACTGGAATACACCTCATGATGCTTCTACGGCATTCCAATGATACCAAATGCATTTCAGCTTTAATAATGCCCATCTCCATGAAAGAGCAGCAAAAACTTCTCCCATTGCTCTGAGGCAGCAATTAAGCACAAGGGGATTCTTGAATGAAAGTCCTCTTCTCGAAGCCCACTTGAAATGCACAGCCAGCTCCTGTTTATTTAATTTCAAGAAGGCTTCAAGATCTATTATTGTACCAACAGATCTGTGGACCTAAGGTCTCTCATATTCTGTGGTGTAAACTTTAGGGGGTGATATGGAACTCCATAGAAACTGGAGATAGGTAGTCTCATTTTAAAACACAATTCATGCATTAATGGAATTGTGAAGATAAATGGTAATTGTGTGAAGGATTTGTAATTCAAGAAAAACATGATTATTTCATCTTCTCCTCAGAGACCCATCTATGACAGTCTAGAACAGTGTAACCAAGTCCAGTCTCACAACCACACAGCGATGTTTTTATAATTATAGAACGAAACTGCACCCTAGGCAAACTTTTTTTGAAAGTGTGGTTTCTTAATAGGACCTCTTTACACATAATAGGCAGTAATTAGGAGATAATTTTAGACATTCATTTTCAGCAATCTGCATCTACTTATTCACTTAAAACAAAAATGTTTCTGGGAAATGTTTAAGTTTTTTCAATTAATGCTTGAGATGCTTTATTGGAGTGTAATTAAAAAGGAGGAGACGTTAGTCTCCCACACACCAGAAGACCTGCATGCAAATCAACACAAAACCTAGACAGAAGGTAGTCTCTCGTTTTATACACCCATTTGGATTTGCACAGAACTCATTTGTAAAGAATTAAGGTGAACAATTCAAGTACCAACAAAAACTTGAACTTGAAACTGGTCGTTGGTTTTTGGCCAGTTTAGTTATTTTTGTCAGAATCGTGTTATTATCATCGGTTTTAGTTATGCAGTGTACCCTTTGAACTGAGTAAAGGCGGTGATTTGTACTGTTAAACTTCTTCATAAACTGAAATGATCAATTCCTCTTGTTTTGTAATCCCACCTGCGAATTCCTTAAGGTAAAGGTATTTGTCTAATTATATTAAGATTACAAATATTTGTCAATACATGAAAACTGGGAACTGTTGCCATTAATAAGCATGCTTAAAATAACGGATACTAAAACAAGTGTACTATCTTCATGCACGCTTTGTGCCACAGCCTTTACCACATTTCCGATCAAATACGTCATAAAATCTAAAACTATTTTTCAAACGAAGACTTTGCGCTTTAGTTACCTACCTGTCCGTCTTTGATTTTGTGCTCTGGAGCGCCGTACCTCTCGCCTTCTTCCAAACCCCTCCGTGCGTTTACCACAAAACTGTGTCCTAATACAAGGATAGAAGGATGTATAAAACGCATAAGCAGAGAAAACACAATATAACTGAGTAACGCATCTATTAACGTTTCATATTAAGTCAACGTTAATATATCACATAGTAAGTGGCGATAAACAGAGACCGCTCACCTTCGGGATTCTCTCTCTGTTTACACGCTACTTGCCCAGCGAAGCATGGAAAGAAAAAAGAAAGGAATTACACATTTAAAATGTGAAAATCAATCGTTTAACTTTTAAAGAATCTAAAACATACACAGCATACTATGACGCTACTGTATCTCACCGTGTTTTGACTGGGGTTTCCCCATTCTTTGGCTTTTGGTCAGCTACAAGTTCCTTGAGCAACCCTTCACCAAGAGGATGGTCATTTGGTCTGGTGTTAGAAATGCAGATCCCAACGAACAAATCCCAGAAATCTTTTTAAACCATCGGAGCCGGGTTGTTTTCGGACAAACAACCAGCACAGGTGCTACTCCGCTAAACGGAAAAAGGTTCACACATCAAGTAAAAAGGAGAGAGATTTCCGAAATAACCCCGACACTCGCGTCGCGACTTGCTGCAAAGCTAATTCTGATCAACTAAAAGCGCAGTTGAACACTACACAGCAAAGCTGGAAGGCTGACTGACAGTATTGAGAACGCCACCTGGTGACTCCTATAGTTCATTTTATGCTGAGCAACACATTTAAATTTGGTGTTAGCAAGGAGACATTTCATCAGTATAGAAAATAGAAATGGACTGGTCTGTAACAAATACTGTATGTCCCTGTGTTGTTTTCTCCCGGTTTGCTCTCTCTGCGTGTACTGTATGTTGCAACTACAAACATTCTGCAGTTTTTTTTTTAATTCACGAAGCAGAAGTGATGTTTGAAGTCTTCCGTAAATTAGGACAGCAATAGCGCATTTAAATGCCTTCTTCCTTTTAATTAACAACTCTTGAGAATAACCGACGACAAACATTAAGTTTGTCATTAACAAACATTCCAGAAAATCTGTTTTGTTGTTGTTGTTGTTGTTGTTGTTGTTGTTGTTGTTGTTGTTTCATTGCCGATATGAATAACTCATATTTTACCAAGTATCACACATAGAAAAACGGCCACCCAAAGCAAACCAGTTACAAAAAAACATTAACTAGTCACAGGCGTTCAATAAGTGGAGACAGGCTAAGGCAGGGGTCTCTTACTCTGGTCCTTGACAACCAGTCCAGTTAGTTTTACAGGTAATCTCTTGCTAAAGATTTTGAAAGACGTGTAAATTATTATTATCAGTTAATCAAACCATCTGTTCGAATAAGAATATATTAATTAATTTAACATTTCTTTCTATTAAAATTAACTACATTTTAAATTTGATAAATCTCAGGAGTCAGGTTGGAGACACCTAAAATAAGTTATATTAGGAAATGCAGTATTTGCTTTCTAAGATATAGATATTCCACTCCCTCCCTTATTCCCTCCACTAGTGTCTTACTGATTCAAGGAAATTTTGAAAACACCTTGTGTCATAGTCTGGGGCTTGCTGGATAAAAGCACCCAGAATTCTGGCAGGGTGTGTGGCCGAACTGTCAAATCTCAGAACTGGTCACACAGCACTGTGGGAGACAGACAATGTCTCTAGACTGACAGGCTGAAGGAATTGAACCTTTCTTGTCTTGAACAGAAAGCTATGAGAAGCTCATTCAAGTACTCACAATCCTCAAAGACACGAACAAGTTGATACACGGACCAGAGGGTGAGAAAGTGCATTTAAAACCATGTCCAGGAGAAACTTCTTTACACAAAGGTTGTGGGGGAGTGGAACAAGCTATCCAGCCATGTTTTTGAAGCTGATTCCCTGGTTTCTTTCAGAAACCGCTGGATAAGAACCTTGGATCAATTAACTTCTAACTACTAATCAGACTAGATGGACCGTTTCGTTTGTATCCTCTCTAATGTTCTTGAGATATTGTAAATGAAGGGACAGCCAGTGGGCTGATTGAACTCAAGAGGAGATCTGAGTCTCTTTTCTCCCAGAGTCAAGCAGGAGGAGGGTATAAATAGGGGTAGTCTTTAGGAGTGTAGAGAGTCTGGGGAGATGCAGGAGTTGGCTGCTATGTGCCAGTTGGTCAGAAGCATTTTACTACTGGTTAAACAGCATGCATCACAGTTAAAGCTCAAAACTGAATGCTCAAGCATCTGTCATTATCAGCAGCCTCCACACAATTTTGCACTCTGTGGAAAACCTATTGGCTCACTGAGATGGGAGATGGGGAGTCTGGGCTCTAGTGGACATGGACTCCTGTAGGAGCAACATGGGCACCCACACTCAGAGTAAGCTGCTCTAAATGACGTATTGCTTATTGTACTGTTACTGCTCCACAAGTGTATGTACTGAGACTCTGAGTGTACAATGTGGAGCTGAGGGGTGATCCCTCACCTTTGGCTTGCTTGAAAGTTATGAGAGGGGTAAGAAACCTGTTACACACCATTCAGCAATCCTCAAAGAAGTCTGGTCTTCCTCTATTCACTGACACTTGGCAGGACAAAGATCTAAAGTCAGCATTGCAAATAAGGGTTATTCTATTTCTGATCAAACATTCTGCCTTCTCATTCTTCAGGATCCATGCAAACACCCACTAAGATCCTCTGTTTTGTCACAAGGATGACCTACAGTAGCAACAGGACTCATGGAACTGCACTCCGGATTTCTGAGTACTTGATGATTACCATAAGGGCATGAAGTAGGCCCATGTGGTGAGTAATAATTTCTAACGATAGTTTCTGATTGTTTTTAGTTGATATTAATGTTATTTATTCTGAACAAAATGGCCATGTTGTGTTTTTGTAAACTGCTCAAGACTCTGTGAAGTGAATAAAGGGAAAATAAAATGAGTAAGGGTTTGACAAGGTTTGATTAATACACTTCATGCTTGCAAGATGTCATATTTGTTGCCATTGGTGTTCCAAAGTATATTTTGAAATGAAAATAACTTCATTAACATAAACATCTAAATGTAACAGGGCTCACCCCCTGCTCTCACAGCCTTTAAACAACCAGGATCGAATCCTGGATGTGGTGGAGAGAGGAGAGCTCATCCCATGAAGAACAGGGAAACTGGGGCATTAGAATCAGAGATTGCTCTCTGATCTTATTGAAACTTAATGGGTAACGATATCCTGTACCACTGTACGCTACTTACGCACCCTGCAAGGTACAGAGATAGTGTTTTTATGGAAATGCACTGAACACAACCAGTTCAATAGTTCTCATTCAATTCCAGACAGGTACCTTTAGTACGGTAGAATGCTGATCCACCAGTCATAAATCAATCATGCTGATTTGTCTTTTCTTTGTTCCCTGGTCCTTCAAGACAGTCAGCTCTTGAATGATAAGCAAGGCTGGGTCTGGTTCAGTACTGAAATGGGAGGACTTAGGTGTTAGTGGTCCAGCAGGTGAGATTCTTCCCACTTAACCATGGTTTCCAATCCTTGGCCCCATTTCAGGCACAGATGCCATCTTGCAATACATTAAACTAAGGTAATTAAATCCAATTGTACTGTCCATAAAAATAGTGATGCTAACCATTGTCTTTTGGCTAAATTATCTTCTGAGCTTGTACAAACTGGCTTGCCTCCCATTCTCTCTTGTTCTCAGATGTGTAAAACTCTTTGGGATCCTTTGGGTAGAAGTGCTCTGTAAAAGCTGTTTATTATTCTTCTTATTAAAAAGCTACATATTCTAAATATATAATTGCTGCTATAGAATCAAGCAGTAGAGTGAAATGTATTCAAAGACGTATATCTCGGTAAACTTCACTAGAGTGACAAACAGTTTTTACCACCATTATTTTGCAGTCATCTGCAAGGATAAAAAAAATTGAAGGAGCATTTTAAAGAGCACAATGTTCCCTTGGTAATTTTTCTGGTTTTCACTTGTGACTAAACTCTGTTTCCCATAAAAGCTCAGCATTCCTGAGTTCCTGTTATGTGGATTTTGAGATTGCTGGAGTCCATGTGTGAAAGAAAAGAAGGAGCTCAGTAAAGCACCACATTGAGCAGAAGGCACGCATATGCACACACTGGCCAAAATATTAGAAAGTCAAATGAATGGATCTTTTCAGTGGCCCTATCCTTATCTTGCTCAGGAAAATCCCCATATCTCCCTCGTGTTTGAAAATGGTAAAACTGTTGGAATGTGGATTTTAATCTCAACACAACATACCCACAACCCAGCCATGACTGAAATCAATTCTGATAGATGAATGGATCATCTAAATAGAAAGATTATATTTGTTTTGCAAATATTTAAAAACCTTGTGGAATGCATCTCGCATTCTGTTTCGACTGTTTTCATTGCTCACAGAGGCCCAACAGGTTATTTGGTGAGGGTTCCTAATACTTTGTCCGGTGAATATTCACACAAAATCTAATTTATTGACACAGAGACAAATGGTCATTTGGTCATCATTATTTGGCTCTTAATAGTTTTTGGCACAATGTGTGCTTTATTTCTTTGTAATCATTATTGTTTAATATGAAGTTTAACTAATTTAGATTAACACAACGTACCAAATCTTAAATAAGAGATAATGAGTAGAAGAAGACTAGTTTTCTTTACTACAATTATATATAATCATGTTAGAAAATATGTACTGCGGTACCACCTACACTTCCTGGCAAAAAGGTTTTAAAAAATATTTCTGCTGGAATTACAAACTAGCATGACAGACCACACTCATAAAAAAGAACCACATGGAGCCATTTAAACAGCTGAACATTTCAGATGATAAAGTGCTCCTCACAACTGCTTTTTCACTGACAGGGGATATCCTTTCCACATAACTGACAGGGCCCTCACCTGAGTCAAATACACCCCTTCCTTCATCAACCCCAGCCACAGCTATACTTCACTTGTCCTGCCTTTTCACCCCAACACCCTGTCAATACAAGGTCATTTTATGGATTGACCCTTCAGCTGGAATCATTTTTACAGACCTACAGACCATTCATCTCATACTGCTGACCACCTAACCTGCACAACCTTCTTACCTAGAGATCTCTTACATATCCACAACCTCCACCCATTCCAGGAATGTCTCACTGCAATAGAATCTTTGGCATATCCTGCAAATACTTATCTAACACCACAGATCTTGCCACTCAGAGGGTACCGTACTTGTCCAGGAATTTCAACTATTGCATCTCTTATAAACGTGCCCTGCCATTTACTGTAGGTTGGTGGAACAGGAAGAAGGCTGTCCCGCTGTTTCAGGGAACACAATTCCAGAGCTGTAAAGATCAAAGAGCTCTTTGGGCTGATAGCCCGCATTTACCTCTTCCAAGCATGACTACATTGACCTCTCTGTGTCCTTCAACAGGGATGCAAAGACTCTTCTGCAAGAAAGAGATTGGAGGTCAAAATCATTGTTAGATTGGTTTCACACCTTCTCCTAGCTCTCAGTGACGCACCTGTTTCTTTTTAAATCCTTTCACTTCACAAACAGCTGCCTCTCACACCTCCCCCTGGAATTTATGTCAGATTTACATTTTGCTCTTTCTGCCACCTGAACCCCCAGATATTCTCTTTTCTTTCTTTTGTTTTCGGCACCCCTCTTCTCTCTGTGTTTTTACATTCCTAAGGAGGGCTTCACAG